AGTGTTTCCTAAGAGCCCTCAAGATGAAGCCCTGAGCTAAGCCTATGCCAAGTGCCCCTCTGTGAAGCTTCAGTTCCATCTTCTAGAGAAATCAAGTTCATTCAGCAAAATCATGGCACAGCTGCCCCATCAAAGGCCAACAGTTTCCTTGAGAGAGCTGTTTACATCTTCTCCCCGACTTGGCATAGCCCTCCTCTTTCACAAACATTCTCAGTGGCTCCCACTTACCCGTCAAACTTGAAATAGAGACTGACCGCTTGTGCTAGATGACTGGGCAAGCTGTTTCCCTCCCTTAAACCGTTTTCCTCCATTGTAAAAATCAGTGTTGAGGAGGAAAAATATCTCATACCCTTCCTGGTTCTTCTACGCAGACTGAACATTCAAGTTAACACCAGACACATTAACAGAAAAAAAAAACAGAATGGAGAGAGGCAGCAAAAACAGTAACTCACTGAAATGACTCAAGTCACTTCCTTTAAATAACATCTTTAACTATAGACAAAGGGTCTGGGGGGAAGGGGAGAAAGGGAGGCCAGTCTGGGGAGGTTGTCATAGAAAAGAGGGGTACACAAGGGTGTGATTGTTAGGCTTATTTAAGTTGCTACCTTCTCATGGCCTACACTTAAAACCTTAGAAATTTGAACTGTTCTGGTCTTCCAAATACTGGGAGGACGGAGACGCCCTTATAAAAGTACAGCCTGCACCCAGCTTTTAGAGTCCTTTTTGTGTTTGAAAAAAATTACCTGCCTAAAATAATCCTTGTGCCAGAAAGACATATTTGGGATTGATAAATTTTGCTTTCTAGCAGGGTTGATGGTAGCATCTTTATCTTTGTAAAAAGCATCAATCAGGGTCTGGAAGGAGCTCCTGGTCAGCACTAGATCTTCTAATGCTGCAGCCCCTACCCTGGCTGCCAGTTGGTTGATGCAAGGCCCTTATTTCTCCCCACCCACCTTACTTGTCCTACCACCCATCAGTTGGCAGAAACACGCTCCCGTGTTTTTCCTCCATATTTGTCCCAGTTTTGAGTTTTTAGGCATTTGCATGATTAATCTATGTTGGCCCCCACCTTGTTTTGTTTTTTGCTATGTGTTGGGGGTGGAGTTAACTTTATTTTCTTCCAAGTGCAGAGTCAGGGCTATTGAAGATTTATCCTTTTCTGCCACACTATCGTAGATGAAATTCTTACTTTTATGAAAGTTACAAATTAAAAATTTAAATATCCACACATAGAAATTTCTAAACTGCATTTAATTTTCAATTTAGTTATATATACATGAATGAAATACCGTGTCTATTTATTCAATAACATTTGCTGAGTGCCTGTTCCATGCCAGGGTCTATCCTGGGCACTGGAGACAGAGTTGTGAACAAAACAGTGATAAATCCTTGCTTATGCAGCAAACAGGCAAGGGGGGCAGACAATAAACAATATGTAAGTGTTAGTGATAAGAAACAAAATAAAATGAGGTGAGGCGATAGAGGGGGAAGGGGTACCCTTGTAGATAGGGTGGTCAGAGAAAGCCTTTCTGAAGAGGTGGAGCCAGGAAGAGTCCTGGAGGAAGAGCTTTCTAGGCAGAGGGACTGGCCATGCAAAGGTCCTGAGGCCTATGCCTTGTGAGGTGGTGAGGCTGTCAACGAGCAAGCAAAGGGAGAGGGGAAGATGGTAAGGGCAGGAAGTGGGCAGAGAGGAGTGTTCTGGGCCTGTGTGCATGACAATGTAGAGAATGCTTGGGGGGAGGGGGGGATCTCTTCCTCCTGTCCTTTGGTTCCTTTGCCTGGCCCAATAGCAAATTGATACTAGAGAGATTACCAAGAAGAAAGAAAATTAAATTTTGCACATGTGGGGCTCCATGAAATACCTAAAGAATAACCAAAACAACCAGTTTGATAATAATGTCTAGACAAAGAAGCAATACAGAGAAGAGACAGCACAAAGAATTTCCTGAACGTTTTACTTTGGGTAGCTAATGTAGTGAGCTAAAAGCAGGACTTGTTTGTACAGCTTCCCCTCCCTGTTTCTGAAGATAAGCATCTATCTCTCTGCAGAAAGGGCACATTTGACTTGGAGGCCTATTTCCTGTTTTCAGGAGGAAGGGAGAGGAGGAGGGCCTGAGAAAACTCCTTTGCTTAGGAGAAAGAGGTTTAGTGCATTGTTCATCCACCGACTATTTCTTTAATTTAAAATAATAAATATGATACTTGGGCACATAAGGGGCAGCCTGATCTGGGACCTGACAGTGAAGGCTTTCCAACTTCCATCCCAAAGTTGGACTTTTGCTCTGAGTGAGGAGGGGCTCTGGGCTGGTTCTGGAGGAGGAAGGGCCATGGTATGACTGGCATTCCTCTGACTGCTATGACGGAAAGAGAGTGAGAGGCCAGGGTTTACGCAGGGAGACAGCCCAGGAAGAGACGGCATTGTGACAAGGTAGGAGTGATAATTGTCTGGATTCTGAATAGATTCTGAGGGCATTCCGGCTTCCCAACCTCATCACTTCAGTGGATGGAGATGCATCTTCCAAGATGGGGCAAGTTGAGGGGATAGTTGGTGGTGACCTGGGATGACTCTGTGGTGACAGGGCTATGTGTGTGAGGCCCATGAAATGTTCACATGGCGTGCGGGCAGGCAGTTGTCACATGGGAGTGTGCAGCTGGAGTTGGGGTGGGGGCCATCAGGGTGAAGCTGGTGGTTGAAGTCCTCAACCTGAACTGCTGTCCTCAAGGGACTGTGTAGCTGGGAAGAGAAGAAAGGAGGCAGCCTAGGCCTCGCCTGAGCTCTCTGTCCACTGTCTTGAGCAGGTGTGATGGGGCCAGCAGCTTTTGGCTTGGCCGGCACTTCTAAACAGAAAGATTTCTGTGGGACTAGTGATCCAAAGTCAGGGTTCGGAGCCCTGGGCCTTACCTGTTGGCTGACATCTGTGGGCCAGAGGTCAGGTGGGACCTGTGTAGCTGGAGTCCACTGTGGGGGAAAGGTGGAGGCATTTCTGAAGAGAAAAGGTATGTTAGTGACATGGCCCCGCCTGGGTGCCTGACTCTGAGGTAGCAGTTATAGTTACTGAACACCAACTCTGTATGACCACACTGTATAGCCCCATTCTTGCTGAGTATGTCCCACACTGACCATATACTTGACTGGACTGTAAAGAGTACAGCTGGCCCCAAGGACTATTGGGAGATTTGGTGAGGACAAGCACATGATACAGAGAGTACACAGTCTATATGGGGGTGGTTGGTTGGTGTGGGGGTTTATAATACTACTTTTGACTGTATCCCCCAGAATGGCAATAGCCCCATACCTAGGGTACACTCCCACATTAGTTGAACCCTCTACACAGATGATAGAGTACATTCATGCTAACTCTAAACACCCATGTCACATACATACCTCCTGGTACCCAGTTCTTTCATCAGTTTTAGTTTTATACTTTACTCCCTGAAGTTCAGGAAGGCAAGGTGCTGCCCTGTGTCCTCTGACTGGTATGGAGCAGAAGTATGTTTGAATCCAGGGCCTTCTAGCAGAAGATTACCAACACCAGACTGGGTCTCTCTTGTCACCATACCCAGAACTCAGGCAGGGCCTGCTCCAAGTAGGCACTCAATAAATATTTGTTCACTAGAACAATAGCTTCAAAATTAATGATAGTGAGCGATAGTGAGCTTGTTGTGAGCATGTGGAGGGAAGGCCAGCTCAGATATGCGGCCTTGGGCACCCACAACAGGATCAGATAGGAGCCTCCCTGGCCTCTGAGAGTGCTGTGACTGGAGTTGCTGTTTCCAATGTGCCAGTTTTCAAGAAAGACCAAAGAACTGTATTTTATTAGGAACTTTTCCAGTATTTAACTATTGGCATCAAACTTTTTATTTTTTAATGCAGGCCAAAATAAAACACATTCACTAGTTAGAGAGTTTTGGGCCTAAGTACTCTAAAAATAGTTCATGGGTTCAGCAGTCTGTTTTTGCTCATTGGGCAGGAAGTTGACTTCCCTGTGCCTCAGTTTCCACACTTGGAGAATGGGGCAAGATAAAGCCTTCTTCCAGGGATGGAAGATGATCTAAGCTTGTCTTCGGGCGGGTCGGGTGGGGCCGGGCCCACTGGGTGAAGCGGGAGAGGACTTGGTGGGGGCTGGGCGGGAGGAGGGGGCTGGGCGGGCTAAATACGGCCTGCGAGTGAGTGGCTGGAGCAGCTGCCTGCCCGCCCGGCCCTTTGCTCCCTCCCTCCATCTCTCAGTCCGGACCGTCCAGAGCGGGGCACGGTGGGGGCCGGTCAGACCGGTTTGGGCCGTCCCGCCCGCCTGGGAGCTGGGAGGAGCGGCCGCCAGTCTGTCCGTCCCTCGCTCGGGACGCGCATCCGCTCGATCAAACCAGTGTCCCGCGGGGGTGCGGGAAGCAGGCGGGTGACTTTCGGTGCTGGACGCCGGCTGGGATGGGGGGCGAGCAGCGACACTACTACGGGAAACACGGTAGGCAGCGTACTCAGCCACTGGGGCTGGCCGCTTGGAGGGACGGCGGGAAGACTGAGGAGGGGGTAGGCAAAGTGCGTACGGGGAGAATCCTAGTAGTAGATCTCTCTCTCTAGCTCCCACCTTAGCACCTGCCAGACCCCCGGCCCCTAGCCTCCCTCTCAGACCCCTCCAGCCCCTTCACCCGGAGAGCCTGTCGGTATAGCTCCCTTCCCAGTACCCCTGAGGGATCCTTCTGGACCTTGCCGTCCCTGCCTGCTTCCCTGGAGGCTAGCATTGCAGCCTCCTCCCCAGTGGGTAGCCACCGGGTGGTACTTGGGACTCTTTACTATTTTTGACTCAATCCAGACCTGTTCCGACAGGGGCTGGGGTGTGGTCACCTAGAGTTGGGCAAAAGCTTAAAATCCACCTCGTTTCTGAGTTCTACTGACTTCTTGGCCAAAAACACCCCTAGAGGGCGTCTGGAAGGTGGAGGGCTCCCGCAGTCCCTTTTTGGTCTAGCTCTTGTGGCCCACTCAGCTCACTCTTGCTGATTTTCAGGCTCACCTCAGAAGTATGATCCCACCTTCAAAGGACCCATTTATAACAGGTAAGAGATCTGGGTTCCTGGGGGCCAGAGGGAAGTGTCTCTGCGAACTCCACCCATTTCTTCACACACACCCCCCAATTTGTCCTCCAACAAAGTAGTGCTAATTATTTATAATTTGAAAATGAGATGACTAATTCCCTTAATATACCAAGAGTTCTTACAAAGAACTTTTAAAAATTTAGGCGAAAGACGAATACAAAATTTATAGAACAAGAAATACTGTGGTCAATGAAGTTAAGAAAAAACGTTCAAACTCACTGGAAAGAAATGTAATTTAATACAATACCAAACAGAATTTTCCATCTGAGATTGGCAGAGATGGAAAAAAAGAAATGACAATTTTTATTTTATTTTGGCTTTGAAACTTATTGGTGCAGTTCTTTTTTCAAGGAATTTAGAAATAATGAATTTTTAAAATGTGATGGAGTTCAGGCTGATTGCTCCTGAATGTGTCACTTTGGTCTGTTATTTTGAATTATAATTACTGAAGAAACTAGAACTCTGTAACTCTCCTTTGTTCCCTTGAAAGCAGGAAATAAACCTCCCAAGTGAAAAGTATCCTCCCTGTACAGGGAGGAAGAAGCAAGGCATCCTTATTACTAGAGACTTAAGAGAACTTAGTATACTAACACCCAGCTCCTCTTTTTAACTAACTTACTACCTACTACAAGTCGCAATTTCATTGTCTTATCAGTTCCTTACAAATTTGCTTCCTTGTTAAAAAGCCATAAAAAACCTGCCCGCTTTGTTCATTTTGTTGGGTTACAAACACAGATCTTTGTAGCTCTTATATATAGGAAATTAAATTTAGGTTTCTCCAATCTGTTATAGGGAGTGCCTCAGCCAGTGACCCTGAAAAGTTTTTCTCCTCTCTAGCTTCAAAGATTACAATTCTAGGGAAAGAAGTCTCCCAATAAAACTTCACAAATAGGGAAACATGTATGATAGTGCCACCTTTTTGAAAATAGCAAAAACCAACAGTCAGAATTTCCATCAAGTGAAAAGAACAAGACATAGCACAGTGTGTGTAACATGATGACACTTGAATTAACAAAAAATACTTGAGGACATTGGTACCTAATAAATAACCAGAGACACCCAAGAAGTCATCAACTGGGGCGCCTTATAGAGGGGAGCTTATTTCTTTATCGTATACATTTTACTATAGGTGTTTTGGATTTTAAAAATTCATTAGGCTAGCATTGATTTATAATAAAGAGGCTTCATCATTATAATTTGACATCTGTCTATGCCCCCAAGAGTCTTGATTTCTATGTACTGCCATACAGTTGACTCCCCTTTACTTGTTTTCCTCTTTGCTTCCTTCCTCTCTGGTGACCAAAGAGCCCTTTTTTTGTTTGTATTCTTTAAATTTTCACCATGTTCATATTTTATGATATAAAATGACTGATAGTTTTTAAATGTTAATACCTAATGCTTAAAAAGATGTGGAGAGGCCCTCCCTGGTGGCGCAGCAGGTTAAAGCACTGTACTAAGACGCTTAGGCCACTTCCGCATGAGTTCAATCCCTGCCTGCCCCGAGGAGATCCACATGGCGTGGCAGGCCTCTCCTGACCCGCCCGCTGCTCCCCTCAGCAGTGTACTTCGTCGATCTGCCTATTCTGTTCCCCACTCTGTCCCTGGTGAATTCTCTTACCCTCTGCATCTCTGGCCTGTACCCCAGTTCTGTATGAATAAATAAATAAAAATCTTTAATAAATAAATAAATAAATAAATGAAGATGTGGAGAAATGGGCACTCTTTGTTAAAAGAGAACTGAACATTGCAGTAAGCTACTTTGAGGACAACATAGCAAGAGGTGTTAAAATTTAAAAAGTAAGTTGGAACATGTGTCCAGTTAGCACTCAGGGGTGGGTATGTGCACAGAGCAGGATGGGTCCTTGATACCCAGCACACCCAAAGTCCCACCCCAATGCTATCCTTTACTCATAGGAGCTGCACAGACATAATTTGCTGCGTGTTCCTCCTCCTGGCCATTGTGGGCTACGTGGCTGTAGGCCTCATAGGTGAGTGGACAAGGGGACATAACTTGGGGGTCAGTCCATGCCATAGACTGACATGGAAATGAGGTGGGCTTTAAAGGTGTGGCAGCACCTCAGTGTCCTTAAATTCCTCCACAGCCTGGACTCATGGGGACCCACGAAAAGTGATCTATCCCACTGATAGCCGAGGCGAGTTCTGCGGGCAGAAGGGCACAAAAAATGCGTGAGTCTGGCTTCTCGGGGCCTGGTGTGATTAGGGAGGTATGTGCAGGATGGCTTCCTGAGTACCGGGAAGGTTCTGAGTTTCCCCCATATCCATGCATTAGATCAATCAACAAGTAGTTATAAAACTCCCATCAGGGCCGGTCCTGATGGCGCAAGGGGTTAAGTCTTAGCACTATTAAGCTACCTGAAGCCACTGCAGCATGTGTTCAATCCTCAGCCAGGGAGCTGACCCACATGGTGCAGCAGATGTCCCCTGACCCACCCGCTGCTCCTCTCAGCAGTGTGTTTCAGTACCTCCACCTGTTCTGCTCCCCACTCTGTCTCTGGTGAATCTTCTCAAACCGCTACCTCTGGCCTGTACCCTAGCTCTTGTATGCATAAATAAATCTTTAAAAAAATTTCATCAAGCAGCCCAAATGCCCAAAAGTAGATGACTGGATACAAAAGATGTGGTACATATATACAATGGAATATTACTCAGCAACCAAAAAAGAGAAACACATGTCTTTTGCAGCAACTTGGATGGAGCTGGAAAAGATCATGCTTAGTGAGATAAGCCAGAAAGAGAAAGAAAAATACCGGATGGTTTCACTCATAGCAGGAGTATAATGGACCAGGCGAGAAAATAGCAAAAATAATGAACAACCATATACCAGAGACATTTTGAGGGGGTGGAGTGGGGAATGGGATCAAAAACGGGGTGGAGGGGGGAGAGAAATGCACGGGATTATGGTGATGGGACACGGGTGATTTGGTGATGGGAAACCCGCGGGAATTACAATCGAGGTGGAAAAAAAAAATGTACAAAATGAGTTTTCATCATTCCTAGGCTCTGGGGACACAGCATTAAATGAGTCATTAAGTATATTGTCTTCTGGAGGCCCACATTTTAAGGTGAAAGAGAGAGAGGAAACATTTCAGGATTTGGTGTTAAGTGGCAATGAACTGATGAGGTAAAACAGTGGGTTCTCCACAAAATGATGTAAAAATAAACTATTATATTATTAAAAAAACAAACAAATAGTGGGTCCTCACACACTGTTCTACTCTCTAGTTGTATGACCTAGAATAGGAGCCTCAGTCTCTGGGCTCATTTTCCTCATCTGTGAAATGGGGCTGTTGCGATGGCTGCCAGTACAGATTGTTGTTGTTTTCATTAAGATAGTCTTGAGATGCCTTGATAGTTTCCGTCTCCCGTCCCCAATCCCAGGAACAAACCCTACCTGTTTTATTTCAACATTGTGAAGTGTGCCAGCCCACTGGTCCTGCTGGAATTCCAGTGTCCCACTCCTCAGGTAACTCCAGCCCTCTTGGTCCCTTTACCTCTGGTGACAGTATTGCCCCAGCCCTTTCACTCTCTCCTGGTGAGGAGTGGGGGCTGGGATCTCTCTGTCTTGAGTTGGGATGGGCTATCTGTCATAACTCCCATATAACCCCACCTCCTATCCTCTCCTACCCCCAGATCTGTGTGGAGAAATGCCCTGACCGTTACCTCACCTACCTGAATGCTTACAAATCCCAGAACTTTGAGTATTACAGGCAGTTCTGCGTTCCTGGCTTCCAGGACAACAAGGTCAGTGGGCAGCTACTCTTGGAGTCTAGACAGGGGCTGGGTGCTGACCTGGGGGTCTAAGCCCCTTCCCTCTGTCTTTGGCAGGGTATGGCTCAGGTGCTTTCGGATGGTGATTGCCCTGCTGTCCTCATCCCCAGCAAACCCCGTGAGTCCTGGTTCCTGTGAACTTTGCTGGGGTATGGGGTGACTTCAGGGGTTCAGTCTGATTGGTGCCATCCCCTGCTCCGTGCAGTGGCTCGGCGGTGCTTCCCAGCCATCCATGCTCACAAGGGAGTCCTCATGGTGGGCAACGAGACAACCTATGAGGATGGGCACGGCTCTTTGAAAAACATCACGGAGCTGGTGGAGGGCGCCAGGTGAGTTGCTTGGCCCCTGCCCCTGATGTTGTCTACCTGGGTGGGGTAGAGCTTCTCCTGGGGCTAGCCAGAGGGGATCTGGCATGAACCCCATCCACCTGCTTTCCCCAGGAAAGCCAACGGGGTCCTGGAGGCAAGGCAGCTGGCCATGCGGATATTTGAAGATTACACAGTATCCTGGTACTGGATTGTCATGTGAGTTGGGAGGGAAGGTGCCCTCCTCGGGCTGCTCGGTCTAATAAGGCTGGTGAGGGGTCGAGTGCACTCATGTCCTGTTTTATCTGCAGAGGTCTGGTCATTGCCATGGTGTTGAGCCTCCTGTTTGTTGTCCTGCTCCGCTTCCTGGCTGGTGTTATGGTCTGGGTGATGATCGTCATGGTGATTCTGGTGCTGGGCTATGGTGCGTTTCCCCCATCAGAGAGACCTCCCCTCCCCACAGTCTTCAAAATGCCCATGGCAGTGGCCATTCAAATATCTTATCCTACACCACCAGGCATACATTGTCTTTAACTTGGCATACTTAAGAAGTTGTTCATATCAGTGTGTTTTTTATAAGAGCAGATGCATGGAAACGACCTCAGTGCTCATTAGCAGGATATAGAGGAAATCATTAATCTTCAAAACTGGGGCCTGGAAAGGAAAGGCATCCTTAAGTAGTCTTCTTAACCCGGTGGCTAGCACTTAGCACATTGGCACCAGAGCATCCAGGCTTTAAATGTTAGCTCTGCCAGTTCCTCGCTCTGAGACCTTGGGCAAGTGACTCAATCTCCCTGTGCCCCAATTTCTCCCTCTGTAAAGTGGGGATAATTAGTATTTACTCCTTAGGAGACTTATTAAAAAGATAGTGTGCAGATGAGATGGGTGCTGGGGCTTGTAAAGTTTGGTCCTTTGGAACCTAGGGGCAGTCCTCACCCTCAAATACCAGTGCTTCCTGTTCTCATTATTCATTTGAACTTTCCAGGGGCCCTCCCTGGTGGTGCAGCAGGTTAAAGTGCAGCACTGCAGGCGAGCCGCAGCCCCTTCAGTGCGAGTTCGATCCCTGTCCCTGAGGTGACCAACATGGTGTAGCAGACCTCTCCTGTCTCGCCCTCTGCTCCTCTCAACAGTGTACTCAGTCAGTCTGCCTGTTCTGCTCCCCACTCTGTCTCTGGTGAATCCTCTCACCACCCCTGCACCTCTGGCCTCCTGGAAAGTTTATTTGTTTTAAAAGATTTATTTATTTATGCATAGAACCCAGTTCTATATAGAACCCAGTTCTATATGCATAAATAAATAAATCTTTTAAAACAAATAAACTTTCCAGGAGGAAAGAGATCTGATACCCATCCTCAGCTGAGGACACAGATATTAAAATATTCATGTTAATAGTGGTTTTTAGCTACATGCTGGCATTTTAAGTGACTTTAATTTTTTTTTTTTTCCATTCTACAAGCGCTTAAGAGAATACTGAAAGTTCCTAATGCTTCTGCAGGAAAGGTTAACCTCCCCATCCATGAACATTGTTGGAAGGAGGGCACAGGGGTCAGTGGACAGGTTCAGGACACATAGTATCCATCCTGGTATTTATGTACTTACACATTGGCTCACCAACATGGATTGCATTCCCACTGGGAACTGAGCAGTTTTCTAGGCCCTGGGCTTATAGCCATAACTAAACCAGGATTAGTCCTTACTCTCATGGAGCTTATGTTCCTGAGAATGTGAGAAAGATGGGAAAGAAGGAAATAAAGGAAAGTACTGGTGGTGGGAGGGGGGAGAATAGGAAGTTGGAATATGGGCAGGCATGATTCTAAATAGGGACAAGGTGCTGGAAGGTCTCCTGAGATAATGACATTTGAGCAGAGACAGAAGGATGTGTGGGATCCAGCCAGGGGAGAATGTACCAGACAGTAGGAACAGCAAGTGCAAAGGCCCTGTGGCCAGGCCCTAAGTGATAGCAGCCCCTGTCAGCTTTGGCGTGTGCTTCTCAAACGGGGGCAGTTACACCTGCTTTGCAGCATTAGGAGAAGCAGTCTAGAGACTAAGGTGAGTCATGGCGTGGTGGTTCCCTTGCTCAGGAATATTTCACTGCTACATGGAGTATGCCCGACTGCGTGGAGAGGCTGGCTCCGACATCTCCCTGGTAGACCTCGGCTTCCAGACGGATTTCCGCGTGTACCTGCAGTTACGGCAGACCTGGATGGCCTTCAGTGAGTCTCAAGTTCCCAATCTTGCCCCCAGAATGACCTGGGAAGGAGTGGGAAGCCCAGGCAACTGGCAGACTCAACCATCCTCTGCCCCTCACAGTGATCGTTCTCAGCGTCCTCGAGGTTATTATCATCTTACTGCTCATCTTTCTACGGAAGAGAATTCTCATCGCTATTGCCCTTATCAAAGAAGCCAGCAAGTAGGTGCTAGGAGGCCAGGGGGTTGAGATAGGGACTGCTCCAGCCCTAATGCCTGTCTCTGCTCGTCCACAGAGCTGTGGGATATGTGATGTGCTCCATGCTGTACCCACTGGTCACCTTCTTCCTGCTGTGCCTTTGCATCGCCTACTGGGCTAGCACTGCTGTGTATCCATCTTCAGGTGCCAATCCCCCACTGTAGGCATGGTTGTAGGCTAAACTTGCCCAGAAATGACATGTAGCTGGGCAGGGCCAGATGGAGGGAGAGACCCTTTTCTAGTCTCGCACCCTGGGGTTCCTAATCCCTGAACTTAGCTTCCTTAATGAGCTGCCAGCTTCCTGTCCACTTCCAATGAAGCCGTCTATAAGATCTTCAGTGATGCTCCCTGCTCAGCTATTGGGAAAACCTGTGATCCAAAGGTGGGTGACTGGAGGTGTGTGTGTGGGGGGTGCTGGCTTTTGCCCCAATAACCATCGAATGATCTGAAACCTCTCATTTCCATTAGCGAGCATTCAACAAATATTTGGTGTCTGCTGTATGCCCTGTGCTGGGTGTGGGGAGCATGGTGGGGAAGAGAGCCGATGTGGCATACATCTCCCCCCCACAGTGCAGAATCACCCACCTTTATTTCCCTTGGCTTCATATCCTGCCTCTACACCCCACATTTAATCCCATCTAGTTTTTGCTTCTAGAACTTCTCCTTTTCTTGTCTTTTATAAGATGCTGTCCTCTGTATCCATCATCTCTGTGGTCTTCATACTGATCTCTGCCACTCTGTCGCTGTGCACTCCACCTGCTCATGCTCCCACCCTGGCCCCCATAGTCCATGCTTGACTACAGACTCTTATATTCTGACTGGGCCCTGTGTTTCTTCCACAGACCTTCGCCACCTCTAATGAATCCCGCCTGTGCCCTACTGCCTACTGCCAGTTCGCTTTCTATGGCGGTGAGTCGGGCTACCACCGAGCCCTGCTGGGCCTACAGATCTTCAATGCCTTCATGTTCTTCTGGCTGGCCAACTTCGTGCTGGCTCTAGGCCAGGTCACGTTGGCTGGGGCCTTTGCCTCCTACTACTGGGCTCTGCACAAACCTGAGGATCTGCCTGCCTTCCCGCTCTTCTCTGCCTTTGGCAGGGCCCTCAGGTGTGGCCTTGGGTGGGCAGGAGGTGGGGGCGAGATAGGGCACAGGAAGCCTGACCCAGCCACTGATCAGCCGCTCTACCAACAGGTACCACACAGGCTCCCTGGCCTTTGGTGCCCTTATTTTGGCCATAGTGCAGATCATCCGAGTGATGCTGGAGTACTTGGATCAGCGCCTGAAAGGTGGGGCTCACTTATTCCACAGGAGGAGGGCCCCCTTCATGTTTGGTGGGGCAGTGTGGAGGGGCCAACATAAATTGGTTCTGCTTTGGGACCAGGACAAAATGGCGAAAGATTGACTGGATCCCATCTAAAACAATGGAGCTGAGGGGCTTGGGGGATTGGATCCTCTGATGGGAGAGCTACTGAGGGGGCCCTCAGGTGGAGTTCTCCCCACTGAAGAGTGAGGCCAAGAGACCTTGGCTCTTGAAGAGAAGGTTGAAGAGAGCCAGGGCTAGGACTAGCTTCTCTGTGCTGCAGGGACTGTGAGTCGGGCTGGCTGCGTATTGGGGTAGGACCAAGCTGGTGGCATAGGTGGGCTTTTTTCTCAGGTAGCTGTATGGCTAATGATTGGGTCCTGTCTTGGGGCCTCTGGGAAAGAGGTCTCAAGATGAGATCCTTCCTTGGGGTTAGGACTGAGGGTACTGGATTGGGGTTGATTCCTACTTGGAAGTGGGGTAGGATCCTAAGAGGTTTCTATCAAATCTCTCCCTGTTTCCTTAAGAAGGTGGGTTCCAGGAGTCCTGGACTATGGCAAATGCACGTAATGAGGTGTGTGTGTGTGGGGGTTCCCTACCAGGGTGAGGTCTCCTCTCCTTTCAGCATCCCTTCCTTTTCTCCCAGTTGCAGAGAACAGGTTTGCCAAATTTCTCATGATCTGTCTCAAATGCTGCTTCTGGTGCCTGGAAAAGTTCATCAGGTTCCTCAACAGGAATGCCTACATCATGGTGAGTAGTCCTGGGGCTCCTGCTAAGTGAGAGGAACCCCCATTCCCACATAGGAGACCTGATCTCCACTCCGCCTTCCTCTAGATTGCCATCTATGGCACCAACTTCTGCACCTCAGCCAGGAATGCCTTCTTCCTGCTCATGAGAAACATCATCAGGTCAGGGAATGACAGTGCCCCCACCCCACCTGCTCCTATAGTTCCTGGCCCACATTCACGCCTGTTCCTCACCTTCCTTTGCAGAGTGGCCGTCCTAGACAAAGTTACCGAATTCCTCTTCCTGTTGGGCAAACTTCTCGTTGTGGGTAGCGTGGGTGAGTTCCGCTCACCCAGCCTGTTGCGCTGTGGGAGTCAGTTGGGGTGATTTGTGCATGACTGTTGGGCCTCCATGTCTTCTATAATTAGTGTCAGCTGTTTGGAGACCTGCTTTCTTAGCAAGACCCCTCAACCATCTTGGTTTCCTGCTCCTTTCCAGGGATCCTGGCTTTCTTCTTCTTCACCCACCGTATCAGAATCATACAGGACACAGCACCAGCCCTCCATTATTACTGGGTCCCTATACTGGTATGGACTTTTGGGGATGAGTGAGGTTCTGGGCAGAAGGAGGTATTGAGACTGGCTGGGTTTCATTTGACTGGATGGTGGTCAGAGGTGAACTGACTATGTGTTAAGCATTGATCCTGTTCCAGGAAGGGTGGAGCTCTTATAATTTAGTGTAAAGATACATTATGCTGTGAGTAGAATGATGACATGGGTGGGTGGGTGTGATTGCAAACGGTGCATGCCACGTATGCCATGGGGAAGAAACATCCAAGCCTGTGGTGGAGGATTTGGGCAAGTCTGGGAATCCAGGGGACTTCTCTGTGGAAGTGATGTGGGATCAAACATCTGAAGGACAAGCAGGCAACATCCAGTAGAGAGAACAAGTGTGGAAGTTCTGAGATGGGACCACAGTGGGAGCAGGGAGGAAACCATGTGAAGGTGAGCAGGAAGTGAAGGGGACCAAGGTAGAAATAAAGATGGGAGATGATGGGCTGTGGAGGGGTTGGGTCATTATCCTAAAAATAGCAGGGTATCTGAGTAAACATCTTAGACCCAATGACCTCAATTTTATTTTAGTTCAGTATTTGCTAGTTTTAAGGTGCATAACTTTGGGCAAATTACTTTATCTTTCTAAGGTCCATGAATATGTATCCGGTACCTACCAAGGTCTTGTTAGTCTCTCAGTTGCTAGGAATGTAGCAGTAAATGGAATAGATAGAGTCTAGTAGTGATGCGAGCATAAACCTTAATGCCCTAAACTACAGTGGGAGCCATGTCAGATTGAAGATCTGAAGGACATTCCGGTGACATCAGGGCAGAGGGAACAAGTAGGGAGGCCCTGAGTTGTGATCGTGACAGGAGCAGTAAATAAAATTGTATATGGACAAAGACCTCAGGAGAAGAGCGCACAGTGTTAAGAAAGCAGAACTAGACTCTAGGTGTCAAAGATGGCTTCCTGGAGCAGGTGTTACCCCAGAACTTAATGTTTTTAGACTGTGGCAAAACCAAGAGGGACATAAACTAGACTAATTCATGGCAACAGCATGTGCAAAGGCCCTGGGATAAAAGGATAAGGAATGTCATGGATGGCAGAGCACTGCTGCAGAGTTGAAGCACCAGGGTGTTATTCTGATCAGGTTTATCAGCAGAGGAATGCCATGGTTGCAGCTGAAAGGCAGTTGTCCTGGGCAGTGGCTGGAGTGAAAATGACTTCCTCTCTCTGTCTAGACGGTGATCATCGGCTCCTATCTGATTGCCCATGGCTTCTTCAGTGTCTACGGCATGTGTGTGGACACGTTGTTCCTCTGCTTCTGTGAGTGACCCCTCATTCCAAACCTTGCTGGGCCCTGACCCTTGTCCCCTGTGGCCATAACATCTCCCTCTGATGGAGATATACATTCACCTTATGAGTGCCCTGCAGCTTCTCTAGGGATTGGCTGCCCTGTGCCCTAGGGCCCCAGCATGCCCTTTCACCTTCCTCACTGTGCTTGAAGCTGCTCCATTCCTGTTCTAGGCTGCAGCTAGAATATTCTGCCCCTGGGCCCCGGCTTCAGAGTTTCTGGCTTTGTTGGGGGGAATCCGTGGCTGCCACTAACTCTGGTCTCTCCGTCTGTCTGTTTTTTGTTTTCTCTTTTTTTCTTCCTCTCCTCCATGCCTGCTGGCTTCCCTGTTCTTCCCTGCCTCCCTTTATCCCTCCTTTCCTGATCACCCCATTTCCCCCCCCCACGGTTCCTGGGGGGAGCCCAGGTGAGGACCTGGAAAGGAATGACGGCTCTCAGGAGCGACCCTACTTCATGTCGCCCGAGCTGAGAAACATCCTGTTGCAGGGGAGTGCGGAGGAGGGAAAACAGGCTGAAGTGGAGGAGTAGAGAGGGAGGCTGGCTTGGGGGCCAGAGAGGCCTCCTCGTTTCCTCCCTATAGACCCCGGGGTGCATGTGGGGCTGCCTGCTTGGGACTGTGGGGAGTGTGTGTGTGTGTCCCCATTTCTGAGCCCACTAGAGTCTGCCCCTCTCTGGCCCCGGTATGTCTTGCTTCCTAACCCTCTGAGGCTTCTCTGTGCCCGTCACCTGCCTACCCCATCCCTGGAGGCCCGTGCCTGTGGGCTTCCCTCATGCCACCTGCTCTGCGGCCTCTCTCTGCAGTGGAGGATCTGGAGAGGAATGATGGCTCGGTTGAGAGGCCTTACTTCATGTCTTCCAACCTCAAGAAGCTCTTGAACAAGACCAACAAGAAGCTGGCGGAATCATAAAAGCCTAGGTCTCCCCCACCTCTCCAAAGTTTCACACTGGGTGCTGGGTGGCTGGGTTCAAACCCCCAGTCTCTTGGACTACTCCGAAGTCCTGTCACTGCCGTTCCTGCCTTCCCGTCATCCAGTTACCACCAGTTTCTGGGGACCTGGAAGACCTGGAGCATCTCCTCCCTGTGCCAAGGGGCATACATTTATTTCACAGTAGCCCTGTAGGACTTCAAATTGAGTCACTGTACCCTCACCGGCCCAGATGTGGAGAGAAGCTCACTGAGGCCACTGATGTCTGCAGGCTCCCGGAAACTTCCTGCTTACAATGGGATGGGGTATTGTGGTGGCCACAGTAAACTCTGACGCCCAGTGCCTGTTTGCTCATGCTTCTCTGGCCAGGACCGAGGCCCTTCTCCAGGACTGAACAGCTGGCTAACCGGACACCACAGGCATTTGTTTTTGTTTTTTAACCTGGATGTGTATTGAAGAACTTGTTAGTTCTTTTCTGTCTGTCTCAACAGCTGAGATGGGCAGCTGAGGATACCATCTGCTGGATGTGGCTCAGGTGGGCGTGTGTGTGCTCAGGTTGTGGGTGGGAGGGCCTGTTGGGGAGGACAGCTAGGAACAGACTGGCAGAAGGACCAGAGCAGGAGGAAGGAACCTGCTAATAAGTGGAGACCTGCTGACTGGCTGGAGGAATTGGACCCTCTGACGCAGCTCTTTTTGTGAAAGAGAAAATGGATCTATTGAAGCAACAATTTCAAGGAAGGAGTCGGGAAGATTCTATGGGCAAACCAGGGCCACCCAGTCCAGATTCCTCACCTTGAGGATTCTTTTTGCCAAATTTATTAAAACTCAGGGAATCTGGTCTCCGGGTTCCCCCTTTGCCATATTCCAAGTTCCTCTGACTTCATGTCTTTGTTCATCAGCATTGTTCCAGGACCTCAGAGAGGGAAAACTCTGGGCTTAGGGTCTCCATTTCCTGTGCCTGCCGCCAGCCCTCCCGCCCCCATTCTGTCTGCACATCCTGCGTGGAAATTGCACTCCAACCACTAATAAAGTGCCTACTGTACAGAGCCTGGGCCTGCAGTCTTTGTGGGGTAAGGGGGAGGCTGGCAAGGGCAACCCAGCTTCCACTGCTCTGGGGTCAACTCCCCAGGTGAAGGCAGGAGGGAAAACAGGAAGCTGCTGGTCCCTTCTAGCCTGCATTCCATTGGCTCAGGTTTCCCTGAACAAATGCCTCTTTGGGGCTCTGATCCCCCAGTCCAGGAGGCAGTGGTGCCTGTCTACCTCCTACCCACCTCCTTGGTCACATGGCCTGGACATGTGCCTCTGGCCCCTGCTTTGTCCCTGAAGCCAAGGATCCTGAAGTGCCAGAATCTATCAGCTACTTGGCAAAATTTGGCAGGGCTCCCACTGCCTGGATGGTCATTGCTGCCCCCTGGTGCTGGTTGTCACCATCTGTGGGCCCTCTGCCACATGATTACCTTTAATTACCTTTCTTGCCCCAAAGTCCCCACTCCTGGAGTTTTTTCTTAACAATTACCATTTTGAGTACTTCCTATAGCCTACCATACTTTTAATTTTCTTAAATTTTATTATGTTATCAGTATTTTAAGGATTTATTTAATGTAAACAGAAGTGGGGTACAGGCCAGAGGTACAGGATGGTGAGAGGTTTCACTAGTCAGAGTAGGGAGTAGGCAGATTGACGAAGCACACTGCTGAGGGAAGCAGCGGGCAAGATAGGAGAGGTCTGCTGTGCCATGTGGGTAGCTCCCTGGTCTGGGGTCAAACCCAGACCATAATGGTGATAGCGCAGAGACTTAACCCCTAGGCCATAGAGCACCCCATACCACACTTTTATTACTGGTTTTTTAGAGGGTGAAATGAAGGCAAGAGAAGGTGGTGATACATGTAGAGATCAGGGCTGAGAAGGCACCGAACCCAGATCTTTTGACTTCAAAGCCCTCACTCTGCCTTCTGCTGACATTCTCTGGGCTCCTGGGTTGCTCATCTTATCCTGAGTTTGTTCTTTTCTGTACCCCCAACTCATGTTAGCCCCAACCCCATCATGTTTCTTACTGGACCAGCGGTGTCCCTCCTTTGGTCCTGGGCTCTGCCATCCTCTCCCCTCCTCCAGTGTCCCCTCTCTCAGGGGCAGAAGGCTGCCTTTGAAAATTTAGGTGCACACCCTTCTCTGCTCAGGAACCCTTCAAGGGCTCCCACCTTACTGCCAAAAGTCCCCATTGTAGCCCCCTGTCCCTGCCCCATCACCTCCCACTTGCTCTCTGATCCAGACACCCTAACCTCAGGGCTTATGTCTAAAATGCAACCTTCCTGGCTTTCCCTCTAACTAGTTCCTCTTCCTTCCAGATCAGGGGTCCCCTCCTCAGTTAGCCTTCTCTGCTCATCTAAAGTTGGTCTCCTGTTCAATTTCTTCACAGTACTTAACATAATCTGTAATCATTTATTTGTATTTTCAGTTACTGCCAGCCACCCTACCCAACATGTCAACTCAAAGGGAACACCATCTTGCCTCTTCTGTACCAGCTTATCTCAGAATGGGGCAAAGTAGTTTCTTGGATAATGTGAATTACACTATTTTGGTATAACATTGATGAGAAGAGAAAAGCCCAGAGGATGTTATTTTAGAGTTGACTTGCTTTCATTATATGTCACACTGCTTGAAGTCACAGGTTCCAAGAACCTATTGATGAACTTACACTGCAGGCATAGAACATTTAGTGACTCTACAGGGCTGAGCACAACGTCTAGCCCAGGGGACAGATACAGGGTTAGTGCAGTATTTGTATATTAGTAACAGCACTTAAGGTTGTCTTATATTAGTAACAGCATTTAATTAGTATTAGTAATAGTCTTAATTAGTATACTAATAACAGCATTTAAGGTTCAGTGAAGAGGCATGAGTTGATGGTAGACAGGACTGTGAGGTCTTGGGAAAGTGATGAAAAGCCTGTGGATTTTGGTTATTTGAGAATGGACCTAATCTGCCTTCCATGTGGAACGGGATAGAAACAGAAGGGCCAAGGGAGACTGAGGATGCAGGACTTTGAGAGAACCAGTTCAGGCAGAGTCCTGCCACCTGATCTACTTGGGAGCTTTGTAGGATGAGTTTTCTGCATTAGTGAGTTGGAGACTGAAGGCTGCATCTGGGAAAAGTGGCCAGGCCCTTCTGACTAAGTGTGTAGGCAAATTATGTTGACAGCGTAGTCGGAGCCAAAGGTTAGTAATCGAAGAATTGCAGGTGCAGGCAGGCTGTTGTACAAAAGTATGCAAAGCTCTGGCAAAGGTGCAAAGAAACAGTGGATCTGAAGGGATTCAGACTGGCTGGTGTCCTTTACGGGTAGGTTATTTTGGACCCATGGAATACAGTTCTACAGGAAGCTGTCGCATATGTACATGGATGTGTCTGAACCCCAGGGGAGAATTCCATGCTAGAGGCCAATGGCAATCAAATGTGCTGTGTTTTCATGATCTTTCAAGTGATAGGACTGGCTGAGGTCACCAGGGGAGTAAGTGTAGGGGCTGGTGGTTATAGCTTTGGAGTGGAGGAGGAAAGTGGATAAGGGTGTACTAGAGAGGGTCATCAGGCTGAGAGGCAGGCAGGGAATATGGGCATGAACACTTGAGGTTGTGATAGTGGGAAATGTGGACAATAGGTTACTTTCTTGTGGAGAAAAAAACCAGGAAGGTCATGAGCTGAGAACACAGTGGACTGTGGGGGAAATGTTGGAGGATGTAAGAAAGGTGTGCGCAATGATCTAGCTGCGTAGGATGGGGGAGCACTGCATGAGTGAAAAATATTGACATTTTTTATTTTCAATTTTCACAAGGTTGTTGAAGTGGAACAGGGACTTGAAGATGTGAATAAGGGAGTGATACTGGAGAGAATTTATCCCTCTACTGTTCCAAATCTGGCAGCTTCCGAGGCACTCAGGGTGAAATCTGTTGTCTCCACGTGTTCTACTGTAGCCTATAGGACCACAAGCCATTTCATGCATCTCCCCTTCCTTCTCTCCTCCCTCACTGGCCATCCCAATCCTTCTGGCCTCCAGCTGCTCTTTCCATACGGTTCCACCTCTGGGACTTTGCACTGACTGCTCTACTTGCCTGAATGCCCTTCTAGTAAATCATTTGGCCCCAGTCCCTCAGCTTAAAACTGCACCACCCAACTTAAAACTGCAACCTGCTCAGCCCTGCATCTCCAACATTCTTCCTATCTGTTGCACTAGTTGCCATCAGACAAGTTGCATGCTTTGCTCATTGATAGTCCCAGCTCTACAAAGGTAGCACGCTGAAGGTTTACTGCATTGCTGGCCGAGCTCCAGGCCCTCCCAGATGGCTTGTGAGTTACAGCAGTAGAATAGTTTCTCAGTTCTCTCCTGCTAGTGTTAGCTGGTTTTCACTTCCGTGGTTTGCAACTCTGGGAGGTACAGGCGCTAGGGCCAGGCCAAGGAACAGGTGCAAGTGGACTACTGCCCTTTCAGAAAGGGGGCATGCAAGTTTGTGTATCATTTATGGGCTGGCAAGAAATTCAAAGTGACCAAGGCAATTCAATCATCAAGAAGTCCATACTGGATTCCAATTCTGTAACATTCTACAACAGGTAAAACAAACATTGGTGATGTAGAGTTGGGGGTTGACTAAGGACTGGAGGGAACTTTCTGGGGATGATGCTTATACATGTTTATTTATGATGATACCATATAAACATCTATCTAAGCCAGGCACTTTATTTTTTAAAGATAAATTTTATTTATTTTTTTGTACAAGAACAGGGTGTAGGCCAGAGGTGCAGAGATTGAGAGGATTCACCAAAGACAGAGTGGGGGGCAGAACAGGCGGATCTCCTGAAATACACTACTGAGGGGAGCAGTGCGACAGGAAAGGTCTGCTGTGCCATATGGGTCACCTCCCTAGCTAGGATCAAACTCCAGCTGCAGTGGCTGCCAACGTAACTCCTTGAACCACCTGGGAGGCACCAGGCATTTTACTTAGTGGCATGCACAGAAATGAAGAACCTAGCCTAGTTGAGAGTAGAATTGATCTCTGAAAAAAGGTCAGGTAGGGCCCTCCCTGGTGGCGCAACAGGTTGAAGCGCAGCACTAAAAGGCTATCCACAGCTACTGCAGATAGTTCGATTCCCGGCAGGGGGTGACCCACATGGTGTGATAGACCTCTCCTGACCAGTCCACTGCTTCCCTCTGCAGTGTATTTCAGTAGATCTGCCTGTTCTGCTCCCCACTCTGTCTCTGGTGAATCCTCTCACTCCCTACCCCTACCCACACACACGTCTGGCCTGTACCCTGGTTCTGGTATGCATAAACAAATACAATAAAAATCTTAAAAAAAAAAAAAAAAAAAAAGGTCAGCTAGGCTTTTACCAAGATGTCCAGATAGGCTTTCCAATACTTGTCACTTTGTTATATGGAACTAAAGTCAATCAAGGCCCTATTACCATTATTATTTAAAGAATGCAGCTTGGTGGCCTTGGGGTTAAGTTTCAGCACTATCAGCTTGATGACATGGGTTCAACCCCCTGCCAGGGAGGTGACCCACATAGCATAGCAGATCTCTCCTGTCTCACCTGCAGCACATCTGCTGGTTCTTTAAAGATTTACTTATCTATGCATATAAGAACTGGGGTAGAGGCCAAAGGTGTGGGGCTGGGGTGAGAGGATTCACCAGAGACAGTGGGGAACAGAACAGGCAGATTGACTGAAATACACTGCTGAGGGGAGCAGCAGGCAACACAGGAGACATGCTGTGCCATGTGTGTCACTCCCTGGCCAGGGGATCAAATTCGTGCTGCAGTGGCTGCAGGTAGCTTCATAGTCTGTGCTTTAACCCATTGTGCCACCAGGGAGGGTCCACATCTGCCCGTTCTGCTCTCCTCTCTGTCTCTG